TTGTCCCTATAGCTGAAGCCCTGATGCCTGCTCACCCATTACTTCCTTTTCTCTTTCTCTTCTTCCTCCCTTGATTTCTTTTCTTCGCTCTCCTTCTCCTCTCTAAACACTGGGTTCAAGGATGATCTAGGCATTCCCCCTTTACTACAATACATTGCAGAGGAGAATTCGTTTAAAATTTTTTTTAAATTTTATTAATCAAGAGAGGGGTGCGGCAGGGTGATACCATTTCACCGAAACTCTTCAGTGCCACCCTCGAGAACATCATGCGACGACTGGAATGGGAAGGAATGGGAGTGAAGATAGATGGTCGGCAACTACACCACCTCCGCTTTGCTGATGACATTGTTCTAATAACACCAAACATTAGCCAAGCAGCACAAATGCTGGCCGACTTTGACCATGAGTGTGGAAAGGTAGGACTACAGCTGAATCTTATGAAGACAATGTTTATGAGAAACAGCCTTGTTCCTGACGCTCCATTTGCTCTCAATGGAATGACCATCTCCGAATGCAACAGCTATGTGTACCTAGGTCGAGAGGTCAACATGACAAATGACCTGGCACCCGAGCTGCGCAGGAGGAAGAGAGCGGCTTGGAACGCCTTCAAGAACGTCGAAGAAATTGCTAAGAGGATGAAGAACCTCCGACTCCAGGCACATCTCTTTGATTCCACTGTTCTTCCCGTATTAACATATGCCTCAGAGATCTGGGCCCTACGCAAACAAGATGAGAATGCTATTCAGGTCTCCCAAAGAAGAATAGAAAGAGCTATGCTTGGAATATCACATTTCACTCAAATGAGAGAAAGAATCTGGAGTTCTGACATCCGTCGACGATCAAGAATCAGGGACGCTGTCTCATTTGCCAAGGTGTCGAAAATCAGATGGGCTGGTCACGTAATGAGATTTAAAGACGACCGCTGGACTAGAACTGTTACCGACTGGATTCCACAGGATGTCAAAAGACGGCGTGGCCGCCCACCTACCAGATGGTCAGACTTCTTCGTCAAGATCATGAATGATCGGTTTGAGGCTCTTCATGTTCCCGGAGCGAACAGATGCCATTGGGCTACACTAGCACGCGACAGGGACAAATGGAGACGTTACTGGCGCCCGCTCGAGCAAATCGCCGACTAACGGGAAATTAAGTGATTAAGTGATTAAGTGATTATTAATTTTATTAAAACACCATGATTTACAAAGTTGTTCATTGATTTACAATTGTTTTAAACATTCAGTGTCCCACCACTACCAGTGTGTCCTTCCCTTCAATGTCCCCAGTTTCCCTCTCACACCCAGCCGGCCCCATTAGTCATACAATACATTTATTTTATCACTATCACTATCACCCCATTGTTCTTCAGTTCGCTCGAGCGGGCCCAGTAACATCTCCATTCTCCCTGTTATGTGCAAGTGTTATTTTATATTCCAACAAAACTTAAATGTAAAATAGAATGATTAGAAAATAAATCAGCGCCTTCCCCAGATGGAATCCCGGTGACCATGAGCTTCTACAAGCATGGCTCTGGTGTGCGAGTACCAGGACTTTGTCCTGAACTGTAACAGAGCCGCCCCAGCTCCCAGGCAACCTCTGATTCCGGAAGTCATGCCCACAGCCTGCCTCCAGCGCCATCTCAAAAACACAGCAGCGAAGAAAAACACCGGCTGGAGGACCTCACAGCTCCCGGAGAATGCTTCGGGACCCGGCCAGGGCTGATATCACCGGGAGGTCCCAGAGGGGGTAGGTGCTGTCTCCCTGCCTTCCCCAGATGAAATTCTGGTGACCATGAGCTTCTACAAGCATGGCTCTGGCATGCAGGTACCAGAACTTTTTCCCGAACCGCGCAGCCGCATAACATTTCCTGATATGCTTTGCACCCGGCAATGCACAGGGGTTATTCCAGGCTCTGCACTCAGGAATTACTCCTGGTGGTGCTCAGGGGACCATATGGGATGCTGAGAATCGTACCCGGGTCGGCGGCGTGCAAGGCAAACACCCTACCCACTGTGCTATCACTTCAGCTCCCCAAAACAAAATTTATACTTTGCTCATATTTATATTTTGCTCATATTTTAAATTTTATATTAGTTTACCCCAGAATTTAAAAACTACAGGTAAGGCAAAGTCTGCTGGGTTGTGTGAAATCCCCAGAGCTCTGAGACTGGCCCCTAAATGCAAAGCCACCAAAGGCACCGGCTTTGATGTGGTCCGGTCCCGCCATCTATCGGTAAAACTGGCTCATTACGGTTTCCAAACGTATTTCCTTTTAGTGTGAGTCTGAGAGCTGGGGAGATTGCTGGGGTTCTGGGCTGTGGGTGAGGCTGCCAGGTCTTCTGGCGGGAGGCAGCATTGGTGGTTTAGGGAAGTTTTCTGTCTTGGCTGCAAGAAGGCACCTGAGCTCTCTGCGTGGAGACCCAGCTACGTGGATGTCCGGACAGCTTGACGTCTCTTACAAATTAGCAGTGAACTGTGCAGTTCTGCGGCGGGATGGAGGGTGTAGGGAAGGCAGCTGGGCTTTCAGCAGGGCCTGGAGTAGATTTCTTTAAAACGGAAAAGAATATTTCATTTATTCCTTTATTTGGGGGTGGGGGTGGTCAGCAGTGCTGGGAACTTTCCCTGGCTCAGCGTTCAGGGGTCCCCGCAGTGGTACTCAGGAGACCATCTGGGCAAGGAATTGCACTGAGATTACTGTGTACAGGTCAGGCATTTTGGCTTTTAGGAGAATATGGAAATGTTCTTTTAAAATGTTCAATAGAATATTCAATTTACACTCTTCTTTTTACTGTTTGTAAAGGACACTGAAACCCAACTGATGAGGCATACTGCACTAATAGTGGAAGATAGAGATGTGCTTATTTGCTCCTTTCTTGAGGGCATAGCACTGTAGCACTGTCCTCCCATTGTTCATCGATTTGCTCAAGTGGGCACCAGTAATGTCTCACAACAAATTTTGAAACTTGTTGCTACTGTTTTTGGCACATTGAATATATCACGGAGATTTTCAGGCTTTGCCGTGCAGGTGAGATACTCTCGGTAGTTTGCCAGGGCTCTCCGAGAGGGGCAAAGGAATTAAACCAGTCGGCCATGTCGGCCGCGTGCAAGGCAAACGCCTTACCCGCTGTTCTATTGCTCCAGCCCTTTGAGGGCATATTCTTTATAAAATCCACTGGGCAGTGGGCACTGTGCTAAATACTAGAGGTATTTTTAAGAAACAGAGTACTGGGCCGGGGCAATAGTAAAACAGATAAGGCATTCAGCTTGCACAAAGCTGACTCAGGTTTGGTCCCTGGCATCTCATATGGTCCTGAGTGCAGAGCTAAGAGTAACTTCTGAGCACTGCTGGGTGTGGCCCCAAAACAAAACAAAAAAGAAACAGATCTACTGAGGTAAGAGACAACATATTGTCACAATACAGCAGAACTGTAACAGAAGAGGTGCTTGTGGAATAAACTGATAAATACTTAAATGCACCAGTCAATGAATTTTCTATCGTTGTAGTACAATTCTGTATGTTTCCAATAACAAAGGCTTAAAACATTTTGGTAATTCAATAAATCATATCTAGGTGGTAGGAAAGAATGGCAAAACTGATTCGTGTCTGACAAATTGACACCCAACCTTCTGGAAAAAAAAATCCATCGACTGTGCAGAGTTGATCTTTTTCTGGTGCATAATTTCAGGATTTACTCTTGAGCCCTCATTGACAACTGGAATCATCTTTGCCTTGTTGATTAACTGTGTTCACACAAAACTGCGCATTGATTCTGCAGTACACTGACTGAATAGACCCCCTGCCCATGTGATGTGCTTACTTTTAAACTTGAATGTTCACACACACACACACACACACACACACACACACACACACACTTTAAACACCGTGGTTTACAAAGTGGTTCATGATGACTTGTTACAAGCATCCAATATTCCAACCCCAACCCCACTACCACTGTCACCTTCCCTCCACCATTGTCTCCATTTTCCCGACACCCCTCAAGCAGGCCCATAATTATTTAATTTATCGTGCTTGTTACCACTATATGGCTAATGGAGTGTTACAAAAACTAATTCAGTAAATAAAATTTGTGAAAATTGTTGTATCTCTATGGGGACATTAAGTTCTTGTCTGAAGGTTTACTAAGCTGTTGTAGCTTGAGATTAGCTGGCTTCTACGTTGCCTTCCCATCCAGGCTGTACTGCTGCTACTGGCATGTTAGTATTGTAGAGTTGGACGATGTCACTTCAGAAAATTCAGAATATTTAATTGGGCGGGGCTGGAGCAATAGCACAATGAGTAGGGCGTTTGCCTTGCATGCGGTCAAACTGGGTTCGGTTCCCAGCATCCCATATGGTCCCCCGAGCACCGCCAGGGGTAATTCCTGAGTGCAGAGCCAGGAGTAACCCCTGAGCATCGCCAGGTGTGAACCAAAAAGGCAAAAAAAAAAAAAAACCCAGAATATATAACTGGGCAGTTGGGCTGGAGGCATGGCAGCAGCTGTTGAAATGTGGGTGAGACTGTGGGGGCTTTGGTGGGGCAGGAACTTGGCCCGTTCTCCTCCAGAGATCACCCTGGTGGTATCAGCTGGAACTGGGAAACCCAAGAAATGTTTTGTGGCTAATAGTGGGAACTAAATTTGAATGCGTTTGTAGTGTCCACTCCTCTCATTCTACCCAAGTTTTCTGATGGGCATGATGCGAGCTTTATTTGCTCGAGGTAAAGGTAAAGGCCCTCCCGTTGATCATCGATTTGCTCCAGCGGGCCCAGTAACATCTCCATTGGAGACTTTGTTGTTACTGTGTTTAGCATATCGAATACGTCAAGGGGAGCTTGCCAGGCTCTGCCGTGCGGGCGAGATACTCTCGGTAGCGTGCCGGGCTCTCTGAGAGGGGCGGAGGAATCGAACTCGGGTAGGCCATGTTGGCTGCATGCAAGGCAAACACCCTGCCGCTGTGCTATCGCTCCAGCCCCCAATGGATAGCACATTGGACTTCTAGCGATAAACTTTATTTAAGTGCCTGAAAAGAGACTGGGTGGGCTGGTCTTTCTGCCAAGGGCGTCTTCCAATCTCTAGATGGCTTTACTGGGTTATTGTAAGCCCGTTCCAACTCTCGGTGCATCAGGAAGGACTTCCAGTCGGGTGGTGTTAACGGGAGTTTTATCTGGAAATGATTCCAAAACCTGTAAGAGACACAAAGCAGACAATTAACTTCCAGGCCTGTTAGTTTTTAGTTTCCAATTTTTTTTTCTTTTTGGTTTGGGTGGGTCACACTCAGTGGTGCTCAGGGCTTCAACCTCTGCTCTCAGGGATTACTCCTGATGAAGCTCAGGGGCCCGTTTGGGATGCCAGGGATTCAACCCAGGTCAGTCATGTGCATGGCAAGTGCCCTTCCTGCTGCACTGTCTTTCCAGTCCTGGTGCTCAGCAATCCCTAGGAGACAGTGGGATATCTCACCAGTTCATGCTCAGCCTTCCCCGTGTGCTTAATGCAGTCCCTTCATATGTGACATCTGTGTTTCTCATGTTACTATAATGTGCCTTGCCTTAACTCTTATATGTTAATCTACAGAATTATAATCTCTTCACAAGCACAGTCAGCCCAGATTGCAGGCGCAGGAAAGAGAGCCTGTGTGACAGCACTCAGGGTTGGTGAGCTGGTTTCCTGCATAGTGAGTGGACATGCAAGACTGGGCACCATGTGTGTGCTAGACCCAGTGGATCTCTCTCCTAAAAAATTAATGTGGTTAATGTGCAAGACACACCTATGTGTGAAATTGTTTGAACAGTGAAAAGTGGGAAACAACTTTAAGACAGATCAGTGGCTGTTCAGTAAATGTAATGTTATAAAAACAATATGTTCAATATGCTATTTTTAAAATTAAAAGTGCCTATGTATGCACTTATATTCAGCACCATCGACCATATCCACACAATAACCAAGCTCATTGAGGTTTCTCGGGAGTTCAAGATGCCGCTCTGTTTAACGTTCATTGATTTAAAGAAGGCCTTTGATTCTGTTGAGACGGAAGCGGTCATTGAAGCCCTAGCCAATCAGGGCATTCAAGCCCAATACATCAGGATCCTCCGTGAGCTGTATTGCGGACTCACTACCAGGATCTCACCATTCTACAAAGAAGTGATCGTTGATGTCAAGAGAGGGGTGTGGCAGGGTGATACCATTTCACCGAAACTCTTCAGTGCCACCCTCGAGAACATCATGCGATGACTGGAATGGGAAAACATGGGAGTGAAGATAGATGGTCGGCAACTACACCACCTCCGCTTTGCTGATGACATTGTTTTAATAACACCAAACATCAGCCAAGCGGCACAAATGCTGGCCGACTTTAACCGTGAGTGTGGAAAGGTAGGACTACAGCTGAATCTTACGAAGACAATGTTTATGAGAAACAGCCTTGTTCCTGATGCCCCATTCGCTCTCAACAGAACAGAATGCAACAGCTATGTGTACCGAGGTCGAGAGGTCAACATGACAAATGACCTGGCACCCGAGTTGCGCAGGAGGAAGAGAGCGGCTTGGAATGCCTTCAAGAACGTCGAAGAAATAGCTAAGAGGACGAAGAACCTCCGGCTCCGGGCACATCTCTTTGATTCCACTGTTCTTCCTGCATTAACATATGCCTCAGAGACCTGGGCCCTATGCAAACAAGATGAGAATGCTATTCAGGTCTCCCAAAGAAGAATAGAAAGAGCTATGCTTGGAATATCACGTTTCACTCAAATGAGAGAAAGAATCCGGAGTTCTGACATCCGTCGACGATCAAGAATCAGGGACGCTGTCTCATTTGCCAAGGTGTTGAAAATCAGATGGGCTGGTCACGTAATGAGATTTAAAGACGACCGCTGGACTAGAGCTGTTACCGACTGGATTCCATGGGATGTCAAAAGACCGCGTGGCCGCCCACCTTCCAAATGGTCAGACTTCTTCGTGAAGATCATGAACGATCGGTTTGAGGCCCTTCATGTTCCCAGAGCGAACAGATGCCATTGGGCTATACTAGCACGCGACAGGGACAAATGGAGACGTTACTGGCGCCCGCTCGAGCAAATCGCGGACTAACGGGAAGTTAAGTGATTAAGTGATTAAGTGATGTATGCACTTGTAAACAGAAAAGTTAGGAACTGGACACCAAAATCTAAATTGCTTTCTCTAGGGGAGCGATTACTTCTGGCTATTATTTTAAATACACTATTGGTATTTTAATATATATTTAAAATTGCTCGAGCTCGAGCGGGCCCAGTAACGTCTCCATTGGAGACTTTGTTGTTACTGTGTCTGGCATATCAAATACTCTCGGTAGCTTGCCGGGCTCTCCGAGAGGGGCGGAGGAATCAAACTCGGGTCGGCCATGTTGGCCGCGTGTAAGGCGAACGCCCTACCCGCTGTGCTATCGCTCCTAAAATACTTCATCCAATAGAAATGTATTATTTTTATAACCAGAGCAACATTCAATTAACTTATAAATCCCATTACAAGAGCCACAAACATAAACTGGGCTGTGGCTGCTTCTCAAACTCAAGATGAGACACTCATGCATTTGTGAACTTTGATGTCCAAAACACAAGCAATATAAAAGCTTTCAGCATTAGTATTCTAGAAGTTTCCAGGATAGAAAATATTTTCTCAATATTCCTCAGTAATTCCCCAAAGCTGCCATTCTATTTTGTTGTTATTTGTTTCTAAAACAAGAAGTCACATATAGGCTATTTTTTATTTATTTATTTATTTATTTATTTATTTATGTAGGAATACTGCTATTTATTCAGTCACTGATTAGCTGATTGAACTGGGCATAAACTTATAGGCTATTTTTAAAACAAGCAGACGTGGATTCTTTAATAGCTATTAAAAATGTCTGAGGTTGGGCTGGAGCGATAGCACGGCGGGTAGGGCGTTTGCCTTGCACGTGGCCAAACCGGGTTCGATTCCCAGTATCCCATATGGTCCCCCAGCATCGCCAGGGGGAGTGATTTCTGAGTGCATGAGCCAGGAGTAGCTCCTGAGCATCGCCGGGTGTGACCCAAAAAGAAAAAAAAAATGTCTGAGGTCGATCTGCATGCTTGATACAATGGGATATTGAAGAAATATTGACAACTAAAAAAGGCAAGCTTCAGAATTAGGATTATGTTACGAAAACCAACAGTAAAAATAATCTTTCCCTTTTCAACTAGATGTAAATCTACCTTTTCTTAAAACGAGTACATGTAGAGAAATTTCTGAGATGTGTGGGATGGTAGATGCTGAATTCTTATCAAGAGTTACCCTGGGGAGTGGATGGTGGGTGAGGCAGGAAATAAGTAAGATCTACTACTGGACCCAGTAGATGTCTCTTTGGGTAGAAGGCATTGCATAAGGCTCTTTACTTTCTATTTCTTTCTTTTTCATAATTTTTTTTCTTCTTATATTTATCTATTGAATAACTGTGGGGAAAGTTACAAAGCTTTCAGGTTTAAGTCTTGGTCATACAGTGATCAAACACCTTTCTCTTCACCAGTACTCATTTTTCACCACCCAGAACCCCAATATACCCTCCTTCCACTCCTCCCAATGCCTTTGAGGCAGATGATTTCTACTTAACTCTTCTCTACATTGGTTACATTCATTATTTCGACAAAAGATGCACCATTATTGTTCAGAATTTCCCCCCCAACAATCAGAATTGCTGAAAAGGCATTGTGAAATACTTTGTTTTCTGTAGTTGGCTATGAGAATCATATAATGATTTTAGATTTCTGCAAAGAGCCAGATAATTAAGAGATTGGTTTCTGTGCATCTGGTTTTATGGCTGTGCTGGAGAGCTGCTTGTGGGGGGCAACTCGTGACCTTGGTAGGGCGTGAAGGATGAGCTGGTACCGCCCCCCCCCCTTTCCATGAGACTGCAGTTGCCTCGTCATTGCCAGCCATACCTGGCTTCCCAATAAGCTCTTAGGCAGTGGCCACCTTGTATGCAGTCCAGATGCATTTCTGCTAAAATCCACTGGGTTTCGAGATTTGTTTCTGAGTCTCTGGGATCATGGCCATTAATCAGCTTGATCAGGAGCCAGAGAGGCCATTTGTAGGCGGCAACTCGGGGTCTCGTTGGGATGGGGAGGAAAGGGCCGGTACCACTCCCATCTGGTGAGGCCCCACGTGTCTCGTCACTGCAGGCCCAAACCTGAATATCCAGTGGCCGCTGGAGGATGGCGGTCACCAGGCCACCAGGGGGAACAGGCCAAGGCATGAAACCTATTCCCACCTGGAGTGGCTCAGCACCAGTAACCTACTGCAGGAACAGGACACATTTCTGCCAAAAGCCTTTGGGTTCTGAGATTCCTTTCTGAGTCTTTGGGATAATGGCCATTAAGTGGTTTGATCAGGAACCAGAGAGGCCATGCCTCCAATTATATAGCTGGGCCGAAGGTGGTTTGTGGGTGTGTCTCCCACATACCTAACTTCTGGCCATTTACTTTCTGGTAAACTTTGCCCCAAGTTTTTGGGGTCTGGCCAAAGGCACAGCAGTAATTTAGGGGTATCTGAAAGTCTGACGGTGCCATCACGCTGCTGATGCACTCGCCTCACAGGTACAGATTGGCCTGCTGGCGGCACCATAACCCCCCACCCCTTTACTTTCTATTTCATTCACTTCTATACTTTTAATTTTTTTTGTCATTTAAAAACATTCTAACAATTTTTTAAATGAAATTTAAATATATGCTTGTGTTTTCAAGCTCAAAACAGAAGTGAGATCATTAGATTTTGCTCATTTAAATTTTAATTCCTGGGCTGGAGTGATAGCACAATGGGTTGGGCATTTGCTTTGGATGCGGCTGATCTGGGTTCAATTCCCAGCATCCCATATGGTCCCCCAAACACCGCCATGAGTAATTCCTGAGTGCAGAGCCAGGAGTAATCCCTGTGCATCACCGGGTGTAACCAAAAAAGCAAAAATAAATAAATAAATAAATTTTAATTCCTGCATTTTCAGTCAATGGTACTAAGGCTGTACTCTCCTCCCTGCTAAGTTCACAAATCAGATCATTTCTGACATCTCAGCTCTAACGTTCCAAATATAATCTGAAGGATGTTTAGAATGTTGTGATTAGAGATCTCCACACTGTTCTGATATGCAGGCAGGCAAAAACTCAGCAAGTCCTTTCCCTATAACCAACTTGTCCCCAAATTCACGCTCAGAAATGCACCACTCAAAATGTGACCATGATCAATTATAAGTGAGAGCATTCTAGAAACTCCATCTTGTTCTCCATACATGTTTTAGATCTTTCTCTCACCCCTTACTCTAATGCTGAGAAATGTTTCTATGAATTGTGTCCTTAGTATTAAACTAGGAGTCTACCATGGATAGGGAGAAAAAAACAAGCAGATGTCTGATCTTTGATGCCATGACACAGGCTACCAATGGCTGAAGTCTCACAGAAGAGTACCTAAGTTTTATAAAAAGTAGGTTGACTAGGGCTGGACTGATAGCACAGCGAGTAGGGCGTTTGCCTTGCATGTGGCTGACCCGGGTCCAATTTCCAGCATCCCATATGGTCCCCCGAGCAGCACCAGGAGTAATTCCTGAGTTCAGAGCCATGAGTAATCCCTGAGCATCACCAGGTGTGACCAAAAAGAAAAAAAAAGTAGGTTGACTGACCCCAGCCACTCCCTCAAATTACTGACCCCAGCAGGACACTGCCTGAAAGGATCCCCGTCTTCCCCACCAGGTCACTGTCCTTTTCTGTGTTTGCTCATTTCCTCCATTAGCTCTTTACCTATCCCAAATCCAGCCTGAGAGTAAGATGGTGTGCAAACAAATTCGAATAAAACCGTTTCTCTTGCACAAACCCTTATAGCTCAAGTATTGCCCTTCAATGCACAAGTATTAGCCTTCAACTGCCAAGCAACCAAACCTTGGATTTGGTCAAAGAATGATTTTTTTATGTCTCTAAAGACCACTTCTCTGCCACGTGAACATCCTCTTCTCAGTCTTGTCTTAGCAAACGTTTTATTTCTTTTCATAATGTCCTTTTTGGGCCTATCCCAAAACCACTTCCAGAAGAGACTGAAACACATTTGAATGAATATATAAAGACTCTTTAAAACACTATTTTCAAACTACATTTGCTTCCCAACAGCCTACAGTGAAATGTAACTCTGAAGGTGGAAGGTGACATATCCATCCGCATATGGGGACACAGCTCCTCACTCCTGTCCACATATCCTCTGTTATGGTCCAGGGAGTAACAGGCATGTTCAGACTTACAGATGATGGTAGATGTCAGGGTCCCGCTGAAGCCGGGTTTGGAAACCAATATACAAATCATCCCAGAGCAGACCATTCTTCACCACATGTCTGATGACATCCACCCGGCTCCAAATCTGAACAGACAAGGAATAATAGCATGGATAACCCAAGCTGCAGAGCACTGACTCCTTGAGTCCCCAGGAGAAGTACCTGCCTAAGAGGGCAAGAACTTGGGAAGTACAGGAGAAAAGTCTATTGAAGTAGAAAGTCTCCTGGAAAACCCCCACCAGCTGAGCAGGGATGAAGGGATCCTGAGTGCTGTGGAAATTGAGAGAGGGAAATTAATAAGTAGCAAGAGAGCTTAAGGGCTGAAGACAGCGTGCTTCCAATCCAGTTTCCATGTGATCTTGCCCTCGTTCTGTGCCTATTTCCTTTTGTATAAATGAAGGCAATGGAGCATTTGCCATAGAGCTATCATGAGGCTTAACAGAGTGTCCTGTCCTGTCCTCCCACTGTTCATCGATTTGTTAGAATGGGCCCAGTAAGTCTCCATTGTGAGACTTGTTATTGTGTTTGGCATATTGAATATGTCACGGGTAGCTTGCCAGGCTTTGCGGCACAGACGAGATACTCTCGGTAGCTTGCTGGGCTCTCCAAGAGGGGGTGAAGAATTGAACCCGGGTCACCCGGGGTGGCCGCATGCAAGGCAAATGCCCTACCCTCTGTGCTATCACTCAAGCCCAGAGTGTATACAATATATTAAAACAAGGCCAACCATATAGTAAGCTTCCAATTAATGTGTGCTACCAACATTTTCCCGAAAGCCAAGTGTTCTAGCTTCTTTCTGAACCTCTGAGGCAAAGAAGAGCCTTCAAGTTTACAAGAACCTTAACCAGGCACTCGAGGCCTTTCCCTTTAAAAAGAAATTGCAATTCCTGCCTCAAAAGCTGCTGAACACTCAAAGAGACAAACGGTTAGGAAACAAGCCAAGATGATTGTGAGTCTCAGCCTAGCACTTGCTAATCATTTGACCTTAATGTTGTTAGGATTTCACTTCCTCTCTTATGGAACTCTTGGGAAGGAAAAAATAAGGCCTCCTCTCAAAGAAAACAGCATGAAGAAGTATTAAGGGCAGTTATTCTAAGATTAGATGTATTTTTGACATTTCTTCATTTCCTGTGTTAAAATTTTCTGGAAGCTTTCAGTAACTGCTAGCCCCTCTTTCCTTAGTAAGCAGCCTGAAAATGCCAGTAGAGGCAAGTTATTGTAAATGCCGGTCATTAAACAATTCAGAATGATGAGAGGACTAGCACTTGGGACTTATTTCTCTTTTCCGAGTCACTGCTACAAAACAATTGTGAGGGCAAAACTGATGGCATGACAAACTGCAGCTAACATTAAGTCTCAGGTAGACCTCAGTTTCTGTTTCCCCAAAGCATGACTTGCAGTTGCTGGTAAACTCCCAGTTGAATAATTTGCCAAGAGAAGGAACTGGGCATTTGGGTTTGGCCGGTCATGAGGGGTCACTGTACGCTCCTTAGAAACTGTTGCTGACTATTGCCTAATTGCTGACCACCATTGTAATAGGGCCAATGCTAAAAATAGATCAGTATATAAATTGCTTCTTAAGTCTGAACCCTATATAAACTGCTTGTGATTTAGAGTTGGGATCCTTGTCAAGACTCCACAGTGTTGGATGAGACTTGGACCCTAGCTCGAACTAGCACTGGCTCAGGCTAGTAATACAGTTCCTTTGCTTTTGCATTACTGTGTGTGGGCTTGGTCTCTCCGCAATTGAGGATCTGAAACTTGGGCACAACACAATGACATCTTTTGTGATCTGAGGTGTCAAATATACAACTCATAATCCTATCTCCATGATCCAGTGTTTCACATGAAGCTTTAGGAATGACAACTCGACAGTTTGCTTAGGTCAAGGAGAACCCAGCTGAGATGGAGTATTGAGATGTACTTGTTGGCAATGGAGGAGGACCTGGAGAGGGGTACCTGAGGACTTGAGATAAACAAGAAACCTATTTAGAATGTAGTAAAAATATAACACCTGTGTGATTGATTAGACTTGGGGATGAGGATAATATAGAAAATCAAAATATTATTCTATGATGTGTGTGTGTTTACATGTATGTGGGTCGGGGGTGGGGGACTTGGTTCATTTGGCACTTGTGTGGTGGTGATAAACCAAGAATCAAGATAGAAAAGTAGAAATGGCAGTTTAAGAAAAGAATAATATCTGTTGAACTTCCAACAGATTGAAATGAGGTACCCTAGATTTGTAAATCTGAGTGATGAAAGGTCGTCCCTACTAGGGAGTTGAATACAAAGAACTGGAAGCTTGATGGGGCAGACAGAGTTGGAGGGGACTGGGCTAAATTAGGCAGGGTCTATGGAGTTGGAGAATCTTTGGCAGCAAAGAGGTACTAGTAAATGAGTTCCCCCATGGAGACAATTGAGAGGAAGGAAGGGTGGGTTGAGCACAGAACCTTGAGGAAAATGAAATTTAACTGATGACTGAAGAGAAACCATGAAGGAAGGACAATAGTCATGAAGCAAAGGAAAACAAGGGCATGTCACTGGGGCTGAGAAAGGATTTCCAGTTCAACGAAAAAGATGATAACATGCATTATCATCTTCTCCACACGTCCAGACTCACCTAAAATATAAACAAAGCAAGGATATAGGATAAACTTTCACAAGGGGAGAAGGAATGAAAAGGGTTTCTGATAGGCAGGGAAACCTCACTCAACCAACTACCCTGAATCGGAAAGCATTAGAAGGAGACAGAGGCTGAAGAATCCAGAGTGAATTCAGATTTGAGTCTCAGAAATAGGTGCCATGTGCAAACAGATTTAGCTACTTGTCTAAAAAATTAGAATCGATTCAGAATTTGGGATGGGAGGTATAGAACAAGGTCAGGGAGTGTTTTATAGCCCAGATCAATGACTCAACATCTTGCTACTTGGAAGTTCTCTAAGAACTGACTTTTCACCTTCATAATTAAAACAAACTGGTGATACTTGACCGATTATAATTTAGTTCTCTTATTGTGTGCATTTGTTATTGTTATTGTTGTTTGGGCCTCACCCAGTGCTCAGGGGTCATTTTCCTTGGGGTACAGGGCGTTTGGAGCTAGAAATTAATGCCAGGGCTCCAGAATGCAAAGCACAGGCTTCAGCCTGCTAAGTTAAATGCCTGACCCCAGTCTAGCTCTTGTTTCACATAGCCCAGAGTCCCTTTTAAATATGAGATTCTCTGGTCCCTAAGTATTTCATGTAACTTTTTACTTTAAAAAAAATAGCACAGATGAATCTTTTAAGGTGAAATGACACATAAGTTATAGGTTTTCTAAGTTCAGTTTTGAAAAACAACTAGTAGCTAAGCCATGTGCTTAAATGATCAGACTCTGATCTCAAACCCATGCACCACAGTTCACTAGCTGACCACCATGGGAAACTATTTAACCCGTTAGTACAGTATTTTCTCATCTACAAGTGGAAAACTGTATATGTTGTTGAATTTAATGATGGAATAATAAAGTAATTGAAACTGTTCTTGGCATAGTGCATATCATGTGTTTTTTTAAATAAAGCATTACATTAAACACACCCATTTTGCATAGAATGGGTGCTTCATATAGCCTCAATTTGAAAACCTTATTTTTTACAAATCAATAAAGCAGATGTCTAATTTTAATTAAGTATCTTAATTCTACTTAAGTATTAGCACAAAATTCTTTTCAAAACAGTTATTTTACTTGCCTTGTAGATGTTTAGAAGTTGTAGCTGTGACTTGTTTTAAGTTTGAAGGAAGCATATTAATGTTACTTGATTGATTTTGAAAAGGGTGTGTAGCACAAGAAACACACTTAAATAAAACAGTATTCTAATTCAAACATTGAAAAATTACTTTACTAAATACAACAATGCAAATCAAATGATCAAAATGTATCTTAAGAATGCACAGCTTATAGGAAAGCACATTTAACTCCCTATAATGAAAACACCACACATTTATATGGCACATGTAATAATATATCTTGTCCTTATTTATTTAATAATTCTTATATGCATATAGCATTTAAAGCTGTATTGTATACTTACATATATGACTTTTGGCTATCACCAAAAAACTGGTAAGTGTGCTGACCAGGAGATAGTAAGGGGTTAAGGACCAGGTTGATGCCTGGTATCACATCTTCCCTAATATTTTCAGGTCTAGTACTAGATGTTCCTGTGCATCTCTGGGGTATCCCGCGTGGTCCCCAGCACTGCAGGACCTGAACAAGCCACATACACAAGCCCTAGTGTTAAAACACCTGCTGGTTGGCTGATTACTGCCAGGAATGGTCCCTGAGGTGCCCCAGAAAAAACAAAACAAATAAAACCCAGTAAGATGGGATAAACCTTGTAGAAGAAAAAGAGTGAAAGCTCAGATAGACTTGCCCAAAACATCCTAATTAGTCCACTTGATTCACAAGCTGGGGTGCCAGTTTTAATCTTGATGCTATGTTTTCTCCCTTAATATCAAGCTTTCTCTCTTAATATCAAGCCATCGGAGGTAAAAGGTTTTGCTTAAAATTTGGGCTCAACAAAATAATGTGTTGATTTATGCCTAGTAACTTTCTTTTCAGAGTCAACTATTGCATTTGCTTGGAGAGAGAGATCCCGTTGGAGAGAAGGGAAATGGGTAGGAGATCAGGGCTTACAGAGCTAGAACAGTTTAGGAGTGTCAGCTGTTTGGAAACAAGCAGGAAGAGAAGCCAATCTTGGAAAAGGCTGCAAGAGAAGGAAGTATGCATTTTGGTTAGTAACTAAAAATTAAGTTTCAATATTTACTCATTCTGCCATATCAATGTTAACAAAGGCTCTCTCTGTACCATCCTTGTAACTGTTCTTTAAATCAGAAGTTACTCTAAAATATGTTTATTTAAAAGGTGGAAGGGGAACGCCCATTTGTGTTTCTACTTACTTCTTCATATGGATGTTCCCGTTTTGGCCTTTCTTTTGGAAAGGATAAATCTAGAAAGTCAATCAAATAGTCATATCCATCAGGAAGAGGGTTGAAGTCATCATCTGTCTCAATCATCTGTGGAAATGACAACACAGCAAAAGGAAGAAGCTTATTAATTCTAGAATTTAAGACCCAAGTGCTCTTAACTAATAGAGAGCAATGAAATGGAAGACACTATTAAGGGAATCTAATCTCCTTTTTTGGGCCCCTATCTCTTACCTCCTTTCTCCACAATGAACTAATAACATTCAAACTCAAGTTTTCTATGTTAGCAAAATGATAGATAACTGAATTTACTCTTATTTAGAGAAAGTTATTATTATCTCAAATACGTGAGTAATGAGATAGTGAATACCACAATGAATTTGTAGGTTAAGGGATAAAATCATGGCATGGTTCTCATCATTACATAGCATCTAAACATAATGTCACTGAAAATCCCAAATGTTTTCTATTTTTCATACTGTCCATCTGAAAATATTTATTGATGGGATGGTGGTGGATATGGTGAAGTAATGTTGTGCATTACTTAAATATAAACATTTGCACTCTTGAAAACTTAATAATAAAAAATAATACATGGGAGTCAGAGTGACAGTACAGTGGGGTAGGGTGCTTGCATTAATGTGGACAACCTAGGTTTGATCCCCAGGATCCCATATGGTCCCCCAAGCACCACCAGAAGTGATTCCTGAGTGCAAAGCCAGGAGTAATTCCTGAGCACTGCCGAGTGTGGCCAAAAAATAAATAAATACAAGACTAAAGCCCAAAATAAAATGGATGGTTGCTTGCCTTGCATGTGGCCCATCTGGGTTCAAATTTTTTTTCCCTTCTTTTCACCTGGATTCGATCTTAGGCATCCCATACTGATCCCATAGAGTAATCCCTGAGCACAAAGACAGAAATAAGAAGCCCTGAGCACTGCCAGGTAGGCCCCCTTGCAAAAATAAATAAATAAATAAAAAAGAATACATTCATAAAATATCATTTAGATCAAAGTTTCCTATGTCTTTGAATTTCAAAGACAATTTACCCAAATAATATTTGGGATATATTTTTCCAAGTGACAACTTTTAAAAAAAAAACAACTTGTATCTATTATCTTTTTCTTTCACAAAAGGAGGGATGTTTTAAAGCCTTAAATAATAGAAAACACCTAAATTTGGATTAGTGGCATGCCCCAAAAAGTTGACATCTAGTAACCAGCCAAACACAAACTCACTGATTCAAGCAACAGCAAGGCTTGATCACACACAGACTGACAAGACCTCCAGGAGATATTAAGGAATCTCTGCTTTTGAGAATGGCACTGGAAGGAGGGGTAAGGGGGTGAAAGACAAACCTGGGATTGACCCAAGTCTGAGGTGCAGAATGCTTGCCCTGGAGTGTGTGAATGTGGTCAATTTCTTGTTGTGTTTCCTCAGCTTTGCACTCAGCACACCCTTGTGCCAATAAAATCTACAAACACATACAACAAACGTGCATAGATGACTACACCCACTATCTGACCCTCCCATCCCTCCCAGGGCTTTCTAGTCCTCCCTTTTTCCTCATACCTCTGGCCGTGACTATTTAATTTGCTTTTGGACACATCCTCAGATTTCATAAGCAGCTGACAGACTGAACCACTTGACTTGTGGGCTCTGTATGTGTTGGGGTTAACCAAAGCTCTAGATCTTGGAGGACCTCAAAGTTTGTTTGATTCTCTCTTTCCCACCACTGCAGACAAGAGCTCCTAGATTTTCTGTCACCTGATCCAGGTCCCAGTCTTGTAAGCGAGTTTCCCCTTTCAGCTTCACTTAGTTGCTCCTCTCATGCCAAACAACACAAGTTCCCACCCTCCAAATGAAACTGTACTACAATCATGACTGCAAGATGATAGGAGGGGGAAAGAATGCTCCAACAGAGACACTGGGATAGACTTGAGAACGGGCCCCAAATTTTCAATCAGGATTTATCACCACATGGTCAAAACAGTTCTCTCTCGGGCGGTTGCGAGGGCCTAATGAAGGCTTGTGGGGAAAGAAACTGGAATGCTAAGGGCTTCTTACATGTTTCTAATAAGACAGAGAAACAAAGACAGATAAGTATGAAGGCATACCCGGACCACCAGGTTATAATTCTTGAATCCAGCCCAAGTGAAGTATTCTTTTATCCAGGATGGATGAAGAAATATTTCATCATCTACAGAAGCAGCCAACGTTTCCAAATATGGTGCAAAGTCCCACGAATCCTTGTAAATTTTAGTCCCCTCTGGAGGCTGTATGATGCCCTTGCTTAATGACACAGATGAACGCACAGTGAAAGAAGGTCCAATAAGAATGGTTAAGAGCTAATACCCCCAAAGTTAAGTCCATGGTAGGTTTGTGACTGCTCAGATCATTCCTGAGCATCCCATAGAAAATCCAAATCAATCTTTTAGCATCCCATTGCTTCCCAAACATGCTAGGGTTAGCCTGGGGTGGGGGGGGGGGGGGTCCTGGCACCATTTGTGACTATTATCACTGCTGGCCTGAGTACATTGGCTAAACAATCCCAGTGTTTAACCATGGTAAATCCTGTGACAGAGAAAGTACCAGGGATAAGGCACTAGCCTTGTACGTACCCTTCTCTATTTTATTTACCATAAATGATCACTGGAGCACAGCCAGGAGTAACTCCTATCCAGGGGAGGCTATTCCTATTCCAGGAATAGATTCTGAGCATCTTGGTCATGGTCCAAGTGCCCACCCACCTATTAAAAACAAATAAAACCACAATAGTACTGAGGACAAGGACCTATTAAAGGTCACAGATATCTCCTGTTCCCTTTAAAGCTAGAGAAAATTCATCACTTGTGCTTATTGTCTATACATATTTAAGCCCAACCTGCTTCCTGGGTCCTTAAGCATCTGACCCAAATCAAGAGTGGCTCCAGGCAAAGGAGTCCATGTTATCACATGAGAGTTTTTCTTGATAAGGTTGTTGAGATCCTTAGGGTTGTTCTTAGTGTTGGTTTCCTTGATATATCTGAGAAACAAGGACAAGGCCATGAAAGAGTTCTCAAATACACATTCTGTTTAGTACAAAGACATAATCTTTTCATTTTCTCACATTCCTAATCCTGGAGTGATAGCACAGCAATAGGGTGTTTGCCTTGCACGCAGCCAACATGGTCGACCCGAGTTCGATTCCTCCGCCCCTCTCGGAGAGCCCGGCAAGCTACCGAGAGTATCTCGCCCACACGGCAGAGCCTGGCAAGCCACCCGTGATGTATTCGATATGCCAAACACAGTAACAACAAAATCTCCAATGGAGACGTTACTGGGCCCGCTCAGCAAATCGATGAACAACAGGAGGGCCTCGAGCAACATTCCTAATCCACCTCCACTTGCCCCTGGGGAAAAATACTCTTCTATAATTATTATCCTTAATTAGAGAACTTGTCAAAGAGGGTGTATTTATGCCTTATATTTTTAATTAATTTATTTGGGGGGAGTACACCCAGAGGTGCTCAGGGACCATCCTGATCCTATGCCAGGGGACCGTATCTGATGCCAGAGATTGAAAACCTGGGTCAGCTGCATGCAAAGCAAACACCTTCCCTCCTGTACTATCTCTCCAGCCCTGATTCATATACTTTTAAAAAAATGTTTAATTATGAGCTAGAGAGATAGTACAGGGTTTAGGAATCAGCCATGCAAGTAGCAGACTTCAGTTCAAGCTGAGCATTGTATATGGTACTCAGTGCAGTGCCAGGAGAGATTTCTTGCACAGGAATAAGTCCTGAGCACAGCAGTGTCTGACTCAAACAACAAAACAAAAGAACCCAAATTAGAATGCCTGATTACTTGGTAAGTAAAATTGAGATTAGATATACTGAAACTATTATAAATAAGAGTTAAGAGCACTCTCATATTTAATATTTACTGAATAAATAGTTGGTTAAATGTTCTTGGCAGTAATTACTCTGTTTAGCATGAATGAATTGATTTGACTTTCAAATGGCTACCCTATTACTCCATTCTAATCTTATTTTATTGTCAAGAGAAGAAAGGAATTGTTAGCCCATTTACAGTGAAGGGATTAAGGGCAATGGTTACACTGTTGTCACAACAGAAAACAGAAGATGGCAGGGACCACGCCTTGTCTCTCATTCTCCGGGAGAGCTGAGGTGATGTGGTGAGTTGCCCGCCAGGCCCACCCCGACCTTCCTCCTCTCTCTCTGCAACAGGGACCACCATCCAGGACCAGGCCACAGAGAGCAGTAACCCTGGAGCGCAAGCACGAATGGCTGGGCATCACTCTGCAGGCCTAGCTCCGTTTCTCTCTTGGCCTGTTCACAAAGAGCAGCATTTAGGTCAGAAGACCCAGAGCCACTGCACAGCCACGACTGTGCCCACACCTTGACCCTTCCGGGCAACTTTCTAAACAGCTTTCTTTTATGGAAATGAAAAAAAGAATTATTATTATTATTATTATTATTATTATTATTATTATGGGTGCAAAGTGGATTTTGTTTATCTGTAGCCAGACATTCCTTCCTGGTTGCTGCACAGATGGGCATGGGAGCTGGGGGGTGGAGCAGCGGGCATTGTGGGGACTCTAGGACAAACCCTGAAACCCAGTCGTGATGCAGATTCACCCCAACCTCCCACCTCCACCATCACCCTAGGGAAACTGGGGACATTGGTGATGGGAAATGTACACTAGTGAAAGGAAGGGTGTTGGAACTTTGTGTGACTGAAACCCAATCATGAACAACTTTGTAACTGTGTATCTGCACCGCGATTCGATTAAGAAAAAAATACAAAATTTAACATAACAAAAAGAAACATTAAAAAAAAAAAGACCAGTACACGTCTTCACTTACAGATTTCCTGTATGCATGGCCAGGGGTGGTGGCCCTGGGCAGGGCCTGCCAGCCTCCCAACCGGGGGCGCTCAGGGTATGTCCCCGAGGACATCCATCCCCACACCACCACGAGGGTGCCTGGGTCCCCCACAGCGTCAAGGCTCGCAGCCCTCTGCGCAGGTCTGCCCGGGGGAGTTCTCGCGAGAGGCTGTGGGCTTTGGCGCGACTTGGGCGTGGCTCAGAGCAGCTGGCACTTCCGCTGTTGTTGGCACTTTCTCTAGTGGCGGCAGCAGTGGGCGTCCGAGGCGTGACATGACGTGGCCACCTGTCACCGGCGTCCCCGCGGGGCCATTTCCCCTGAGCCCTGGCGTCACCGGGGCTGGCGAACTCAGTTTTGCTTCTCCGCGCGCTCGTGGGCGTCACAGTGGGTGCCCCTGAGGAGGCGGTGGAAGCGCTTGTGGCCACCCAGGGCCGCCATTATGCGTCAGCCTCTCAGTCAGGGCCCAGCAGCTTGGACAGGGAGGTCCGAGGAGGCCGTGGAGAAGATGGAACCGCCGTGACCAGGTAGAATGTCCCTTGGAGGTCACCAGCCTGTGAGCAGGTGTGGGACTGGGACTGGCCTCCGTGCCCCCCCACCCACCCACCCACCCACCCGGTTCCGTCATTCCACCAAGGGCCGAGCCCCTCTGGTGCCCTGGAGCCCATTTCCTCTGGATTTCTGTCTCCTTTTTTCCCCCGTCCGTGTGGCCTCCCTGGCGCACAGTCCCGTCTGGCTGCTGTGGGGTGTCACGTTTGCGCGCGCGAGGGACGCTGTGTGGCAGGCGGGGGCGTGGGGGGGGGGAGGGAGAGGGCTGAGGCGACGCCTCACAGCTCCTGGGCGTAGTCCTCATAGATGGCTCTGTGGGTGGCACCATATCCTGTTTATCTCCTGGGCGTGCCTCATCCCTACCCCCACCCCTCCCCACCCCCTGCCGTGCCATCCCGTGCCATCGGGTTACCTCGACCCAGCCCAGGCCAGACTCTATGACTTGCGTTTTAACCATGTCATACAATGAGAGAAACGAAGGCCTCATGACGTCAGCACTTGGCCCCGAGTCACGCATCCCAGGGGCAGTAGCCACCCAGATCCTTGGCTCAGCCTTCCCAGAAGGCGGCAGGACAAGAGCTGTTTCCCCAATGTTCTGAGTGGAGTTGGGGGGAAAAAAAATCTTTCCACCCAAGGGAGGTTAAAGAGAGACGAGACATCTAAGAACTTGAAAGTAGGTTTTCACTTGGCACCAGATCTGCTGGCACCTTCATCTTGAACTGTGTAAGACAATATATCAGTTCTTTAGAAGTAAAACAAAAGTTCACTAAAAATCATTACAAATTAAGTAATAACCTGGCTTTCCCCCACTCTGGGGTGTGGTTTTTTTTTGCTTTGTTTTATTGTTCTCTCTCTCTCTCTCTCTCTCTCTCTCTCTCTCTCTCTCTCTCTCTATCTCTCTCCCTCCCTCCCTTTCTCTCCCTCTCCCTTCTCTCTACTCTCTCTCCCTGCCACTATCCGTCTCTCCCTCTCTCTCCTTTTCTCCTGACCCACATCTCAGCATCTTCTCAGCTTTTCTGACGTTTGTCAACTCATACTTCAAAACTCAGGTTCATAGCAGCATGCAGGAGTCATTTTCTGACCCCACTGCCAGCAAAACACAAATGGATCATAATACTTACCCATTGGTTGGTGTCATTTGTTCCTTCTTCTAATAGAGCACAACTCCTGAGGACAGTCATTTCATCTTGAATGCCATAATATTATCAAAATGTGCTCAATGAATGATGCAGGAGAAATGCACAGAATTCTTCAATAGAAATCACAGTTTTAATTCAAAGCAAATCTTACGAAACATTCAGAAGTTACGATATTAGCATCCACATTTTTCAGGATGGGGTGGGGCATGGCTGGCCTTGTGGTTGGAATGAATAGAGCCAAAATGCACAGCTGCAGACTCTCATTGGAAAACGGTAGCTGGTGGCTACATCCAGAGGGTTCCAATGGTCTTGATGGATCCAGCCATCCCGAGTTCTGATGGTCTCCAAGGTCCCTGATGGTTTCATTGGTCTCAAGGGTCCTGAATGTTTAGTCAGTGTTGAGGATTCTGATGTTTTCATCAGTCTCGAGGTCTCAAGGGTCATAGTCCTGTTGGTTCCGATGGTCTTGACACTCAATCAGTGGTTCTCCCAATGGCAGTGGTGAGAATACAATCATTTTCCCATTGCCTCTTGTGATCACTGCACAATAGGCCGTGCCCTCCAGCTCCGGGGCAGCTCTTCCATGAGCAGCTCTGGACGACTCTGCAGCTCTCAGGTAATACTCTGCTTAGGCAGGTCCCTTGTGGTCAGAACACAATGGGTGCATGTGGGAGCACATTTCAGAGCACAGTAGGAACGTGGTGGGTGCTTGCTGGTAGCTCTTGGTGGCTTGCCAGACCTACTTGAAAGGATGATGCAGGGAAGGGTGGAAGGCATGGATGCCACCCACCGCCCTCCAAGACATCCTCCTTCCCACCCCAGAAGCCCTGTCAAGCAGCTTTCTCAGCTCCAACAAATGCTGAGGGTCAGGGTGGGGTGGAGATTTCGGGGTACACCTGCAGGAAGAGTGAGGCAGGGTTGGGGGTGCACAAACAGGTCTCTACAACTTTCCAGAGGCTCCTCCCAAGCTTTGCTCCGTGGATCTGTGTTTCTATCTCTATCAGTAACCTATTTTGATTACTATAGCTTAATAACAAGTGTTATAAAATAGGTGTTATGAATTCCCCAAATTCATTTTTGTTCTTCAGAATTGTCTCGACTACTCTTATTCTTCCCTCCCCATATAATTGGTTTGTTTATATCTAATTTTTAATTTATCCATTAATTATCCATATCCATATCCATGACCATATCCACACAGTGACCAAGGTCATTGAGGTTTCATTGGTCTCAAGGGTCATGGTCCTGTTCAAGATGCTGCTCTAAGGTTCATCAATTTAAAGAAGGCCTTTGATTCTGTTGAGACTGATGTGGTCATTAAAGCCCTAGACAAACAAGGGCGATCAAACTCAGTGCATCGGGATCCTCTGCAAACTGTATTTCAGATTCTCCACCAGGATCTCACCATTCTACAAGGAAGTGATCATCGATGTCAAGAGAGGGGTTCAGCAAGGTGATACCATTTCACTGAAACTCTTCAGTGCCACCCTCGAGAACGTCATGTGATGACTAGAATAGGAAGGAATAGGAGTGAAGATAGATGGTCAGCAACTGCACCACCTCCGCTTCACTGAGACATGGTTCTAATAGCACCAGACATGAGGCAAGTGGCACAAATGCTGGCCAACTTCGACCGTGAGTGTGGAAAGGTCAGACTGCAGCTGACTCTCACAAAGACAGTGTTCATGAGAAACGAACTAGTTCCTGACGTTCCATTTGCTCTCAACGGAATGAACATCTCCGAATGCTGCAGTTACGTGTACCTGGAGTTGAGAACTCAACATAATGAAGGACTTGATGTCAGAACTGCGCAGGAGGATGAGAGTGGCGTGGAACGCCTTCAAGAGCATTGAAGAATACCTCAGAGACCTGGACCTGACAAAAACAGCATGAGAATGCTATTCAGGTCTCCCAAAGAGGAATCGAAAGAGCTATGCTTGGAGTATCATGCTTCACTCAAGTGAGAAAAGGAATCCGGAGTTCTGACCTCCGTTGACAATCGAGGATCAGGGATGCTGCCTCATTTACCAAAGCGTCAAAAATCAGATGGGCAGGACGTGTAATGCAGTTTGGAGATGACCGTTGGACTAGAGCCATTACCGACTGGATTCCATGGGACGTCAAAAGAACACCTGGGCACCCACCTATGAGATGGTCAGACTTCTTCTTCAAGATTCTGAACAAACGGTTTGAGGCTCTTCGTGTTCCTGGAGTGAGCAGACGCCATTAGGCCACACTAGCACGTGACAGGGATGAATGGAGTCGTTATTGGCACCCGCTCGAGCAGATCAATGATCAACATGATGACAAGGGATAAAAGTTATGTCTAATTTTTAAAATGCTGCTGGGCTTTTGGTAAACATTACACTGAATCTCAATTTTAAAAAGATAACTATATCTTAACTATTAGATTATTCATAAACAACTAAAAGTCAAAGTAGAATTACAAGGTAAGAGAAAAGGCTTAAAGATGAAATTTAAAAGTATCACATAAAGTGGAATCAGTGAAAGCTAAAGATGTGTATTTGAAAAGATCAACAAAAGTAACAGAAAGAGATACCACAGAGCACCACGAGGGATCTTTCCGAAGCACAGTAAACATCTTTCTTAACATAAAGGAAGAACTACAAGAAACTGAAGTCATAAATAAACTGGATACATTACTATGGATTTTATGGAATAAAAAATTTAGAATAAAATACTGTGGAAAGTATCATGTTAAGTGAAATGAGTCTGGAAGAGAGGGACAGACATAGAAAGATTGCACTCATCTGTGGAATATAAAGTAACAGAATGGGAGACTAACACCCAAGAATAGTAGAGATAGGACTAGGAGGTTTGCTTCACGACTTGGAAGCCTCACATGCTGGGGGAAAAGACAGCTCAGATAGAGAAGGGAACACCAAGTAAAGGGTATTTGGAGGACCTACTCGGGTTGGGAGATGCATGCCAAAAGTAGACTATAGAACACTATGGCCACTCAATATCTGCAACCTATGAAGTATCAGAAAATATTTTTGGTAAGCAGTAATATCAAGTACATGTTTTAAAACTCCTACGATTTAGGATCTGGACAATACAGAAGTGAAGGCACTTACCTTGCATGTGGCCAATCTCTGTTCATTCCCTGGCACTACATTTTGGTCCCTCAAGCACCACTGGGAGTGACTCCCTGAGCACAGAACCAGGAGTAGCCCCTGAGTACCACTGGATGTGGCCAAAAAAGCAATAAAATTAATTTTAAAACAGCCACGCCCACAATTCAACAATAAAGTGATAATCCAAGGGTTTGAGAGGTAGTACTGGGGTTAAGAGACTTCCCTAGCATCTTGCTGACCCCAGTTCTAATCCCTAGTACTACATATGTCTTCCCAAGTACTGTCAGTGGTCAGTTTTGAGCACAGAACTAGGAATAGACCTGAGCACTGCTGGTGTGTCCCCTGCCTGCTCCCCACACACAAATCAGCAAAGAACTTGAGCATAAATTGAGTCAAAGAAAATACACACATAACCAATATGCATATGAAAAATATCAAAACATTTTAAGGCAAGCTACCGAGAGTATTGGATATGCCAGACACAGTAACAACAAAGTCTCCAATGGAGACGTTACTGGGCCCGCTCGAGCAAATCGACGATCAACGGGAGGGCCTTTACCTTTTTACCTTACCTAGATTATACTAGGAAAATAAAAAGAAATCAAGAATGTCTAGATAAAAAATTTTTATTAAGGACATAAAAATCAAAACCATAATGAAATATTTTATACCTACTAGATTATACTAGGCACAAATTGTAGCAGAGGATGGTTTCAATCCATCGACCTCTGGGTTATGGGCCCAGCACGCTTCCGCTGCACCACTCTGCTACTAGAGGGCTGGAGCGATAGCACAGTGGGTAGAGCGTTCGCCTTACAAGCGGCCAACATGGCCGACCCGAGTTCGATTCCTCCGCCCCTCTCGGAGAGCCCGCCAAGCTACCGAGAGTATTGGATATGCCAGACACAGTAACAACAAAGTCTCCAATGGAGACGTTACTGGGCCCGCTCGAGCAAATCGACGATCAACGGGAGGGCCTTTACCTTTTTACCTTACCTAGATTATACTAGGAAAATAAAAAGAAATCAAGAATGTCTAGATAAAAAAATTTTTTAAAATATGGGTTGGTCAGTCCCGGCCTCCTCTGGACCCAGCGCCCCGGGATGGACCCGAAGAATAGCCCGGCAGGGCCACCGCGTCCTCTGCAGCGGAGCGGCGATTGATTTCCTGAATTCCGTGATTGTGGACCTCCAAAGAAAGAATCAGAACCTCAAGATGAAAGTGGAGATGATGTCCAAGGCGGCTCTTGAAGGGAACGGGGACGACCTCAACAATTATGACAACAACAGTTTCAGCCCGGCCACACCATTCTCTGCACTGTGCAGAAATCTCCAGCTGTTGATGGATGAGATAACAAGCTACTTGTGAAACACCTAAAATAACCAATTTACTGTCTTTACAGTTTACTTTTTTTCACTATGCTTTTAGATGAATGTATGATGAAATATTCAACATTAATAATGTTGGATTTTCTTATCACAAAAAAATTAAATGAAGGACCTCAACCATCAGAAGTTTATCATCCAGTTTGAATCTATTTATCTTCATTTGAATGTTTTCTAGTTCTGTAAAAAGTGATAAATAATGTACCATCCAGGCTACATGTATAATAAGAACTTCTATAATTGTATATATGCTTTTGATGTATTTTCCTCTGGAGATTATCAAGTGTCTCACCAGTGAAAGATCTGGATCAATTGAAATTTTTAGTAATAAACATGATTGAAATTGTTTCACAAAAAAAATAATATGTGTTGGTGAGAATGTGAATAAATGGGACACTTTTATGTTGCTGATGGTTATTCAAATGTTATAACTACTGTGGAAAACATTCAGATAGTTTTATAAAATGTCAAACACAGAATCACCATAAGATCCAGGAATTCCAGTCACAGGTAAATACCCCAAAAATTGAAAACAGATTCTTAGATTTCTTGCACATCGGTGTCCACTGAAAAATTATTTGCAGTGGTTAACGGTTGAAAACAACTGTCCATAAAAATAAGACTCACTCTCTCTTTCTTTCTCTTTTCATCCCTCCCTTCTTCCTTTTAGGCATTGTGTTTTGCAATACAGGTACTGAAAGATTATCATGTATATCCCTTTACCTCCCTTCAACACTGTGTTCTTGTCCAGAGTGACCATTTCCAGCTATCATTGTCATAATGGTCCCTTTCTGTCCTAACTGCACGGGGGCAAAGAGGAGGGGATTGTTTTGGGGGCACACCTGACTGTGCTCAGAATTGACTTCTTTTTCTGTGCTCAGAAAGCATTCCTGGTGGTGCTCAGGGAATCTTTGTGGTGATGGGAATTGAACCCAGGTCTACCACCTGCAAAGCAAGCATCTTACCTGCCATGCTAATCTCTAGTCCAAAACATGACAACTTTGCATATTTCTCTTACATGAAATTATCTCAAGTCAGTAGCTATATTCACAGATAAATAACTTATTCCAGAACATACTGATTTAATTTTAAGAATATTATAACAAATGTCCAGCCATACTTGTCTGATGGGTGTGATTCCACAAAATACCCAGCAAAGGGGCAATAGATTCGGGGTTCTAAGTCCTTCACCAGTTGAGCCTTGTAGTTCAGAAGCTTCTTCCTCTCTGTTTTGATGAACTGAGCTTTCCACTCCTCTGGAATTACAGGGTTTGTATTAGAATCTCCACTGTTCAGAAATCAAGGAAAACCAACATTCTAGTAGAATGGGACTTTTTCAGGAAACAAAATTAGTAGACATAAAATCAAGCAGAGCTCTTCGTCATTGGTGGAAGGTTTTCCCCCAGCTTTACTCTTCAAATTTCAGTTGGTTACTAGAAAATTGTTACCAAACTAACCAAAATACTGAGTTCTAACTCTTTGGTATGGCCATTCTCTCAGACCCACAATAGACACAGACTTGAAGAAAAGTGGAAGGCTCTGGAGAAAGCTTTTTTTTATCCTTCATGGAGGGCATTTACTGCCACCTTATTAGAAATAGATCACGAACCACACATTTATTAAGTAGACATAGTGAGCACTTTTAATGCTAGTATTGAAGAAACCAATAAAAACAAAATACACACCTAGAACCCAAAAGCATGAGTGTCTACCTTGTACCCCACATTTTTCTTTGAAATATGACTGACTTATGAGTTTAAGGTATGCAATATGATATGATGCTGTGGAATGGTTACAATAAGATCAGTTAATATCTTCAGACAATTGCAAATATAAAACATATTTTCCATTTGTCAGAACACTGAAGATATACTTCCTAAGCAACTTTTGAGAATACAGTACAGTACTGATGACTATCACAATGGACATGCATCCTCAGATTATAACAAAGTTTGCACACTGACCAACATCCCCTCATTTCACCTACTCCTACATCTGCAGGAGCCTCACACTATAGAGGGCCTTCCTTTGGCTGTGCTCTCCCCGGGAAAAGTATTCCACGGTACCAAGTGATGTGCCCACACTTTCTTCTCATATCATTCCAGAAAAACATTACACTTGAATTACCAACATTATAATAAAGCTTTTCTGTTCTGATTCAGTGACTCTGCCCATAGGTCTTCCCTATCTTAATGCTTCTTCCTTGCTCTATCAGAATATTTTGAACTGTAAAGTTTAGTTTATGTGTCAGTCTGATTTCTCAGTAACATTGTAAACTTCTTATGATGTAAAGGGATTATGTCTTAATTATCTTTGGATTTATTCTCATGACATTTATTTTCACGCCTGTTCCATGGCATTACTCAGAAGTCAAGTATTACCAGTAAATTTTCCACCACTGAAAGTCATAGGAAAGCCTGATGCGCCTCCAGCAAAATCACTCATCATTAGAGCAACGTTCCTTGGTAGCCTTCCACCATTTGGTCTGGTGCAGTCCACAGTATTCAGGATTTTATGACCTGTGGAAAAATTAAGTGGCATGAGTCTCCAGGTGAAATCTTGAACTCTAGAATGTAAATTCATAAGTCAGTGAAGTATTCCATGAACAATTTACATAATCTGACTCACTTGATTATAGAGACATTGCTTATATCCAAGGAAAAAGAGAGTAAGATATAAAAGCCTATAGTCTTCATTAGCATGCTTTTGAACTTTCAAGTGAATAAATTCATCCTGTTTGATTTGGTGGGTTCTGGATGTCCTATGAGGACAACTTTTCTGAGTCCAAAAAAGAGCAAGGGAGAGAGTAATAGAATCAACACACACCTATCAACCTAATTCAATCTTCAAAGATTGTAAGGTCACCTTCTCACATGAAAGGGAATGGTATATAATTACATCACATCCTAATACTCTAAGATGAAAGAAAGACATTTACTCAATAAAGGTGCTTTTAAATAAATCACTATAGGTAAAATATTGATTATCTGTTAAGTTATAAAAAACGTTTTGTGCCTACATAAACTACTGGAAGGTGGTTTCTGGAAAGATTATCATTATGATATCCCACTTTTCTAAAACAAGGATAGAGATATATCCTAGGCACATAGGATGAAATGTAAGATAGCTGATGTTATTCTTCTTAAGGAATATTTTTATTTTTCATGGTTTATAGAGATCTGAAGTACCTTTATACTCCACAATAATGCAAGTATCTATCTCAGGATGTACACCATCCATTAAGATCATGAATCGAAGATTTTTGTCCACCTGGAATGTAACAGTAAAATCAGTAATTCTGTATGTCAGTTTGGATTTTTACTCACTATTTTAGAAAGTTGTCAACTCTTCTAGAAAGAGAGCCCCTTTATTTGAAACTGTATTTATTATCCTGTATTATAGGGTTTACCATTGCTAGGTGGAAAGAACACTTTCCTGTATCTCAAATAAAGGTTTTGTTCACACAGTCCTTTAAACAGATTTTAAAAAGACTAATACTTAAAGCAATGACGTCAGCTGAAGCTGGAGAGATAGTCCAGTGGTAAGGGAATTATTTTACATGCTGTTGACTTGGGTGCTCCAGCTTTGTATGTGATACCCTAAGCCCCATCAGGAGTGGTCCCTGAGCACAACCAAGTGTGACCAAACCTCCACACTAATTCAAGCCAGAAAGTGTAATTGAAAGTCAGAGTAGAGGGGGCTGGAGCAATAGCACAGCTGGTAGGGTGTTTACCTTGCACGCGGCTGACCCAGGTTCAATCCCTGGCATCCCATATGGTTCCCCAAGCACTGCCAAGAGTAATTACAGAGTGCAAAGCCAGGAGTAACCTCTGTGTATAGCTGGGTATGACCCAAAAAGGAAAAAAATGAGAAGAACCCAGATCTCTTACCTGTTGCCATACTCCAAAAGGCACTACTCTGATATTAGTCAACTGGACACCACTTTGTTTGAGATTCCAAAATACAGGTCTTTCAGTGTTTCCAACAAAAATGGGAATATCTGGTCTTATCTCAGCAAGCTTCTTCAGTGTGGGGTAACTAGGATTAGAAAGATGAAAAAGTTGAAGATAAAAAAAAAAACACACAAGAGACTATTCTATGCTGACCAAGATGCAAGGAACTGAAAAACCTGACTAATCAGAATTCAAAAGAAGTGTTCATGCTGACTGTAAAGTTGAAGGGCATTTCCTACAAGTTTCCCCCATTTTTTAGGACAAAAAAATCCTGACTTTTGTATTAATTCTGTGCAAATTCTACTTTCTGTATTGACGCTTCTTTGAGTAAGGTTTTGGTAGATGAAGATATCCATGATCTTCAATTTTTACCTCCCATTCCACATGTAGTAGCTCCCACTAAGAAAACCTGGGCCATAAGATAAGGGTTCTGCACCATTGGAAGCAGTTTTTCAACCTTTCGTAGGTGACAACCACACTTTGCTATTTACCAATCAAGCTAGTATTGGAATTTAATGTAGAGGGAAGCTACATTCAACATCTGTAGTAATCCTGATTCAGTGTGCTGTGACTCAGGTATTTTTGAATACTTCCATTCATTCATTAAGTCAACTTTCATTTATTGAGCTTTCACCACACAGAAAAATTGTATAGCACTGTGGGTTGTAGTAGGAAGAGGAATATATTAGATTTTAAACATGATAGGTAGTCTGAAAGACATGATGCTTTTACTATGTTATTATTATTATCATCATCATCATCATCATCAACAACAACAACACCCTCCCCTGAGTACTTTTTTTTTTTTTTGCTTTTTTGGGTCACACCCAGCAGTGCTCAGGGGTTATTCCTGGCTCTGCACTCAGGAATTACTCCTGGCTGTGCTTGGGGGACCATATATGACTCTGGGGATTGAACCCAGGTCAGTCGCATGCAAGGCAAACGCCCTACCCGCTGTGCTATCGCTCCAGCCCCTCCCCTGAGTACTTTTTAAATGAGGAAATATATTTAGAAATACACAACTAATACATAGTAAATTAGTATTCAGATTCAGGTTTTGTTCCAGAGCTTCATATATTAGAAAATAATACCAACTTTGATGAATGTACTATTTAGTACAAAAAACAAACTTGTAGGCCGCAATGTAGCTCAGTGATAGAGTACTTGCCTTGCATATGTGAGACCCTGGGTTCAATCCCTGGCACTGCTAAAGAAAAAAGGAAGGAAGGAAGAAAAGTAATCATATTTCTACAGAGTATAGTATTAGTGAAACTGATGAATCATAAGAAAATTATAAGAACAAAATCTGTATATAATAGTTATTAACAATGCTGTCCAAATAAGCATATTTTAGGGATATAAATTATTAAGTGTTCTTTTCCATATGGCTTTATCGTCTGGGTCCAGCACATTTCAACTTTAAAGGACTTCGGGAGTTAGAATAAGTTACAATAAATGGCTATTTGTGATTTTAAATTTTTTGTTTTGGGGTCACATCCAGTGGTGTTCAGGGTTTATTCCTGGCTCTCTGCTCAGGGATCACTTCTGGTGAGGCTTGGGGGACCATATGGTACCCTGGATGGAACCCACGTCAGTCACATGCAAGGCAAGCACACTGACTGCTGTAAATTCAGACCCTGTGATTTTTTGAATGACTGATGATGCTTACTGACCTCCACTAATAATATATCTTAGACTATAGTTTCAGGGATCATTTTTATAGTTTGTTACTAGAGACATTTCTCTGGTGATGGAGAACACCCAGAACCACAAGGAGGGCCTGAGCATCCTCTCCTGAGCATGAAGCTGGTTCTAGATGTTGCTTTTGCATCTGTCTTTTCCCATTGGTAGTTGTTCTCTCTTTCCTTGGAAGAGTGAGAGGGAGATGATACCGTTTAAGTGCTTCCAGGGAGAGAAAGTCTTAGAATCACTATGTATAACCAAGACCCCACTTTTCGGACTAAAAACTATTCTCTACAGTACACCGGTCCTCCCCCCTCAGGAATTAAGAAGGTTTTATTTGGTAAATAAAGGCCTGTCACATGAGGAGTGAGGGAAATGGAATTATGTAAAATAGTTGACTAAGTGACAGTCAAGAAATAAGGACTTAACCTTTTAAAATTAAAAAAAGAAGGGTCTGTTGAGGAAATATATCCCAAAAGCTATACACTTTAGTAACTTTTAGTAATAAACTTCACTATATAGCACATGACCAATGTGGAAGGAAAACCATAATTGAGAAATTGGTATTTTAACACCTGACAACTTTATCCACACAAACCCATGAAATTCATTTTCCAGATAGTGGTTGGGAACTCACCATATTAAGTGACAATGTGCATGATGCTAATTTAATTATCCCATTAGGACTTGTAACTATATGTCTATAAATCAACACAATTATGTGGCATTCCTCTCTTTTTTACAACTACAGATAACTACTACACATGTTACTGTTATTTCACAATGTATGAACACAAGCTATCCTGATCCTAAAGCCATGCAAATTAGTTCCAGGACCTTGTGTTGTAAAAGAAATCTTTTGATTTGCGGACCGTGTGGCTGCAAAGCAACACATTATAAGACACTTTACCCATTTTCCATAATTACCACACCATGTTTGATTGGGTTCAGATAGTAGGTAACAAATTTAGTGAATATATATATATATATATATATATATATATATATATATATATTCCTCTCAGAGAGCCCAGTAGGCTACTGAGAGTGGCCCGCCTGCATGGACAGAGCCTGGCAAGCTCCCCATGGCGTGTTTGATGTGCCAAAAGCAGTAACTATAATAGGTCTCATTCCCCTAACCCTGAAAGAGCCTCCAATCATTGAGAAAGATGAGTAAGGAGAAACTGCTAAAATCTCAAATGGAGACGTTACTGGCGCCCACTTGAGTAAATCGAGAAACAATGATACAGTGATACAGTGATCACCCTCAGGCAGAGTCTCCTGCGCCCACACCTGGCTGCCCTCACTGGGGCTCCTTGGATGGGGGCGGGTTGTTTCCCTCCCCGCCCTGAGCAGAGCCCTGGGAGCTGAAGACCTCTGGCACCCAGCCACAGCCATGCTTAAGATCACTCTCCACACGCCTCATGCATGAAGGAACCCGCAGAGGAACCCAGGTGTTCGGGACCCGGGGCTGAGATCGCCAAGCCTGCTTTGATCGGGACTGGGCCTCCTCCACCCAGATCCCCTATCTTCCAGTAGGTAGACAGTTACACCCACCAACTGTCCCTGGCCGCTATGTAATCCCATCCATGGCCAAGATCCTGAGACTATAACACCAAGCTCCTGGAAGCTAGTCTAGTTCAAGCTTATTGTCTAGTTCTCACTCAGAGAACCCGGCAGGTCACCACGAGTATCCTGCCTACACGTCAGGGTCTGGCAAGCTCCTCGTGGTGTATTCGATATGCCAAAACCCAGTAACAATGATGGGTCTCATTCCCCCAATCCTGAAAGAGCATCCAATGTGGTACTTGCTAAAATCTCAGAGCTAAGACAAATGGAGACGTTACTGGTGCCTGCTCGAGGAAATCGATGAATAACGGAATGACAGTGATACATGGATACCTCGGTGAGTTGTGATAAATATGTACTTGTAGTGGAGGTAATCTGTTGCTAAAACAGTTAATTACTTGAGACTTTAAACAGCTCCCTTTAGAAAATAAATTAGAATATATTCATGCCTTAGAAGTCCCACATGCTCTGGAATAGAATATCTAAGAGCCAGTCAACCAGCAAACAACCTATTGTCCCTAATCTCGGACATTTTAATTAAAAGCCTGCATCTTTATTTTAGAGGATTACATGGGTTGGGAAGGAAGGGAAGTTCATATGGCCATCATAGACCTTTCTGTCTCTTTCTAATGACAACTGAGCATGAATGATACAAACATAGAAATCAGGAAGAACTAACTTGACCCTTAACTAAACCAAGAGGTGGGGAATCTGACCTCCTTCTTCTGTTAGCAGTTCATGACCTATATGATTTTTAAACATGAAAATACTTTTTCTTTCCATTTTGGATTAGGGAAGTTTCACTTCCAATCATCAGTATCCTCTTTCTCAGGCTTAATAAAATCTGGTGTGAATTTGATTGCAGTGTGAAATCGGCAGTTGTTGAGTCACAGAAGCCTGCTGCTGCAATCTAACAACACTTTTGGCGTTTATGAGGAGAAAACAAGACAGAAGTGCCTTCTGACACTTAAAAATTATGTGATTGGGGCTGGAGCAATAGCACAGCAGGTAGGGCATTTGCCTTGCATGCGGCCGAACCGGGTTCGATTCCCAGTATCCCATAAGGTCCCCTGAGCACCTCCAGGATTAATTCCTGTGTCTATGAGCCAGGAGTAACCTCTGTGCATCATTGGGTGTGACCCAAAAAGAAAAAAAATGTGATATTCACATTATGGTCCACAAATAAGGTTTTATTGGAGCAACTGAGGCTCCTTTGGGACAGTCTGTAGCTGTTTTTTTTTTATCCATTTATTTGTCATCAGTTCTGCTTAAGGTTAATTTGCCTTGTGTAGCTGTATTTTTGCTGCAGCAACAGAGCTGAGTGGCCATGATATGACTAGATAACTTATAGAACATAAAATACTGATACCCTGACCCTTTATAGAAATCGTTGAATATATGCCCAACCATGGGATCAACCTAAATATCCATTGATGGGTGATTGAATAAAGCATCTGTGGTGTAGATATTCAAGAGGATTCTACTTTCCCATTTAAAGAGATGAAATTATGCCCTTTAGCACGAAAGAATGAGGCTGAGCTGAGTACATGAAGTAAAATCAGCAAGCGAAAGACAATTACTGGATGTTTTTCCTCATATGTAGAATATAAATAATGGAAGCAAATGAATGAAGAGAATGCGTTCCTGGAATTCTTTGTGTTTGCGGGGGTGGGAGTAGGGAAAGAGGAGTGGGAGGAAGAGAGGGGTCTTTTTGGGGGGGTGGGATGGAAATGAAACTTCTGTGGTGGTGCAATGAATCAGGAATGCAGATAGGCCCCTGAACTTCAAAGGTATTATAAACCAGTGATAAATCAACATTAAAAGAGCGCTGGAGAGACAGTATAGCACATACGGCCTTTGCCTTATACACAGATGACCTGGGTTCAGTCCCCAGCCTTGCATGTGATCCCTCAAGCACTGTCAGGAGTGATCCCAGAGCAGAGCTTGGTGCGGTCCCAAACTCTCTTTCCCCTAAAAAAGAGAAAATATGTACTGATTCTTGCTATAAACATTGAATTGAAAAAGAAAGATGATTCTAAAGATCCTTAAATCTAAACTTCAACACAGTCGTCTGAGGGTGGGAGTGACAGGTAGGTGGGTTAATAACCCCATAACCTCTGGGGGGTGGGGAAATATATATATATATAACATATATAAACATTATCACAACAGAAGTGATAATGTTTATATACATAAACATATATATCGAATATGCCACGGATAGTTTGCCAGGCCCTGCCATGCGGGCGGGATACTCTCGGTAGCTTGCCAGGCTCTCTGAGAGGGATAGAGGCTTTTGGGGCGGCCTCTAATCACCCTTGTAGGTGTTCCCAAGGTTCAAACCATATTTGAACCCTATCAAATATGGTGCGTCAATCCTGGAAGATGGGTATTAAGTGTCTTATGATGTGTCGCGCGGCCGCTTTACGGTCCAGAAAGCATCCTGGAGTGTGACGGTGGCTGGGTAGTGGAGGTAGTGGAGGTCTGCCTGTGAGGTATTTATCTGGTACCGGTAGGGTGGGTCTTCTGTGTGTAATTCAATCCCTGGGTTCTACGGTGGTTGGTGGAAGCAGACAGAGCAGGGTAGGGTGGGGCTCCTGGTTTTAATCCCTTCGTCACCTGTGGTTGATGGGAGCAGGCAGAGGATCTCTGTCCCCGGGTCCATTGAGCCTGGAGCCCATGGTCTCAGAGTTCCATTTATCTTGTTCTGTGGGGCTTCATTCATGTGTGAGTCTCAGCCCGAGCTTCCGGAGAGCATCCTGGAGCATGACGGCAGCTGGGTAGTGGAGGTATGCCAAAACCAATAAATACAATGGGTCTCATTCCTCTGACCATGAAGGAGCCACCAATATGGCAGCGTTGAGAAGGATGTGGAAGAAGAGGCTGATAAAATCTCAAGGCCGAACTAGGCTGCCAAAATGAAGAAAGACAAAAATGACTGTCTGTACTTTCAATGCACATATGTTGGCATCAGATGCATCCACCAAGGACCTGATGATATAGGCGTGAAAGATCAAGTATGACATCATTGGTCTGATCGAGATGAGAAGGCATCAATCACATCATGCCGTTTTCAACACTGGAGAAGAATTGTTCCTCGGAACATGCAATAAAAGAGGTGTCTGAGGCGTCGGTGTCCTTGTCAACACAAACTTGGCCATGAGCATTGATTCATTCGAATGCCTAACAACCCAAATCGGATGTTTACATTTGAATAGATGTGGCTCACTGCCGGCAGTTTCTATCTTCGTTGTCCACACACCAACATCCAATTATGATGAAGGAGAAATTGAGAAGTTCTACATGGAGCTGGAGAAGTTCTATAAAGAAGACCACACCTTCTACAAGATCATTGTGGGTGATTTTAATGCCAAGATAGGACCAAGAAGATCAGCCGAAGAACTCCACATTGGGACCCATAGCCTAGAGTATAACGAAAAAGGTGAGAGACTGAGTTCATCATGTCGACCAAGACCATCCATGGTAACTCACAGTTCCAGAAGGCCGAATCTAAATGTTGGACATGGGAGTCTCCCGGTAGACGGTTCCACAACGAAATTGACCACATCATATTCAGTCGACGGCTTTGCCTGACCAATGTCACTGTTGTCCCAAAATTCCAAACGAGATCAGACCACCATCTCCTTCGTGTAAAATTCTACTTCACAGAGCAGGGAGAAAGAGCTGCAAAGTTTAAGAAGAGAACTCCCAGAACGACCACCAACTGGATGCTCTTTGGCACTATTGAGGCAACATGGGAAGATGCCATCATTGACAACATTGACAAGGAATACTATCAACTGGTTCAGCTCCTCCATGATTGTGCGAGGAATGCCAAGGGAGAGATAGCCACACAAAAAAAGCCTGTCTTTGAAAACTCTTGAGCTTATTCACCAACGTGGCTTGGCGCATGTCTCAGGCAACCACAAGCAAATGTCTGAGCTTGCAAAGCAGTGCAGAGAAGTGATAAAGGAAGACCTCAAAGAGAGAAGAGCAGCAGTGTTGATAGATGCGGCAGAAGCTGGGAAAAGCATTTGCAATGCCTGCCTGTCCTTCACCAACTACAAGACCAAGATGACTGCCCTCTGACATCCTGATGGATCTATCGCATCTTCCAGAAGGGCAATGAAGAAGATTATCCATGACTTCTACTCATATCTCTTTGATAGCCACATCCACCTGCCCACATACCAAATTCCGCAGGATGGATATGTTGTTCCCAACATTCTCCCTTCCGAAATCTGACACGCTATTTAGTTGGTAAAGAAACTAACAGCACCTGGCCCAGACAAGGTCAGACCTGAACACCTGAAGAACCTGCCATCAGTACTCATCAATACACTGGCTCGGCTCTTCACACACTACCTGTCTGAATGCAAGGTTCTGTCCCAATGGAAAATCAGCAGGACTGTACTACTGCACAAGAAGGGGGACATCCACGACATTGGCAACTATCGCCCGATCTGCCTGTTGTCTTCCGTCTACAAGCTGTTCACTCAAGTCATCCTGAATAGGGTTGGCAGAACACTAGATGAAGGACAACCATGCGAGCAAGCTGGGTTCCACAAAGGATTTAGTATGATTGACCATATCCACATGATAACCAAGCTCACTGAGGTTTCTCAGGAGTTCAAGATGCCGCTCTAACATTCATTGATTTAAAGAAGGTCTTTGATTCTGTTGAGACGGAAGCAGTTATCGAAGCTTAAGCCAATCAGCGCATTCAAACTCAGTACGTCAGTATCCTCCGTGAGCTGTATTGCGGATTCACTACCAGGATCTCACCATTCTATAAAGAAGCGATCATCGATGTCAAGAGAGGGGTTCAGCAGGGTGATACCATTTCACCAAAACTCTTCAGTTCCACCCTCGAGAACGTCATGCAACAACTGGAATGGGAAGGTATGGGAGTGAAGATAGATGGTCAGCAACTACACCACCTCCGCTTTGCTGATGACATCATTCTAATAACACCAAACATTAGCCAAGCAGCACAAATGCTGGTTGACTACGACCGTGAGTGTAGAAAGGTCAGACTACAGCTGAATCTCACGAAGACAGTGTTTATGAGAAACAGTCTTGTTCCTGATCTTCCATTCACTCAACGGAATGACTATCTCCAAATGCAACAGCTATGTGTACCTAGCTCGAGAAGTCAACGTGATGAATGACCTGGCACCTGAGTTGTGCAGGAGGAAAAGAATGGCTTGGAACTCCTTCAAGAGTGTTGAAGAAATAGCTAAGAGGACAAAGAACCTCTGGCTCCGGACACATCTGTTTGATTCCACTGTTCTTCCTGCATTAACATATGCCTCAGAGACCTGGGCCTTACGAAAACAGGATGAGAACGCTATTTGGATCTCCCAAAAAGGAATCAAAAGAACTGTGCTTGGAGTATCACGTTTCAGTCAAATGAGAGAAAGAATTCAGAGTTCCAACCTTAATCGACAGTCAAGAATCAGGGACACAGTCTCATTTGCCAAGATGTCGAAAATCAGATGGGCTGGACACGTAATGAGATTTGGAGATGACCTCTGGACTAGAGCCATTACTGACTGGCTGCCCACCTACGAGATGGTCAGATTTCTTCGTCAAGACCCTGAATGATCAGTTTGAGGCTCTTCATGTTCCTAGAACGAGCAGACGCTATTGGGCTACACTAGCACGCGACAGGGACAAATGGAGACATTACTGGTGCCCGCTCGAGCAAATCGATGCGTAACGTGATGTCAAGTGATCAAGTGAGATATATATATGTAATATATATATATATATATCATCACTCACAGTAAATCCTGCCTTCAGTAATGACACTTTCTATACTCCACTTCTTTTTTACCGAATGTAACCTGCCCACACGGCAGAGTCTGGCAAACTCCCCGTGGCGTACCCAATATGCCAAATACCAGTAACAATGATGGGTCTCATTCTACTAACTCTGAAAGAGCCTTGAATATGGCACTTTTTTAAATCTCAGGTCTAGGACAAAGGCGACGTTACTGGTGCCTGCTCGAGGCAATCGACGAACAACAGGATGATCGTGATTGTGATATATCATCACAGCAGACGTGAGCAGGGAAGGCACTTCCTGCTGCCTTACTTTCTACTGTTAGCATGTTCTTCTGAATTAAGTGCTGGGCCATTTTTACCTCAGGTGGTCTGAGTGCATGTGACTGATGTAAATGAGGTCAGCTTGGCACAGTCTCTCCAGCCAATCAAATGGAGGCTCATGTAGCAACCACCATCCCCGGGCAAAAGCAGGACCAATTAACCAAGGGTCAAACACCATCTTTTTGTCTCCTAGCTTGAGGTCCATGCAGGCGTGAGTGAGATATGTTACCTGTTGGAAAAGAGTAAGATTCAGATGATCACAGCATTATGGTCCAGTAATGATGAACAGAAGGGTTTGGGCTGGATGGCTGACAAGTCTTATTGGAGATGTCTCCTCCAGGAGATCCAGTTCAAGGAAAACTCAGCAGAAGCCTTTCTACAAAAACACAACCCCAGCCTAGGTCACTATTTTAGTAAAATAGGAAATCTCATGGTAGGTTTCTAGGTGCCAAACCAGTTTCCCTAGTTTTATTCTATTTAAAATCATTCCCAATTACTTATTTACAGCTATTATACAGCTGTTATTACAAATAAACTGCAGATTATCTTTTGTGATTGGTGTTTCAAAGCATGGTTTATAAGGAATAGGAATTAGCAGGCATCTGGGGAGGTCAGAGTGATCTAAATGACTATCCTGATTGGATTTGGGTGAGTGGGTAGAGATAGCCACACAACCTGCTAAATACGCATGTCAAACTTTTTAAAATAAATTATTTTGCCCACCCTCTCCAGATATCAAGATCCTTGAAAATAGCTCTAATAGTGATTAAAAGACTGGGATAGACTAGAGCAGTTTCTCAGCTTTTTTGGACCATGATCCTCCTCTAATCTTGTTTCCTCCTTGTATTCTCTGCCACACCCCCACCCCGGTCCTACCAGTTGGATCCCTAATCTCATGTGATGGGCCCTCCATTTATATATTTTCATCTGTGGCTCCTTGGAATATCCCAGGTTCCACAGGGAGGGGCTGGGGGCAAGGAGATGTGGCTCCTGGATGAGAAATACTGGATTAGAGAATTTCAAAGTAATGCCATATTGCCTCCCAATGGCCGGGCATATATGCAGGGGTTAAAGGAATATGCCAAAATTCAGACAAAAGAAGGTGACAGAAACTCCAGTGGGGCAGCCCACAAAGGCGGGAATCAATTGATTTTACCATTCCTGAGAACTTCCTGTTTGTTCCCCCAAAAGGTACTTCAAAAAAAGTGCTTGTTTTTGTATCTTTCCAAAATATCCCAGGAAAAAATTTTTTGTTTGTTTGCCTCTCCAAACTGCCAGTGATTTTCCTCCAGAGGAAATACTTTTCCAAGGCTAAAAATACTTACAAGATATTTCTAAAAAGATCTGAAGAATGTGTAGAAATGCATCCATTTTATCTAAGTCATCTGGGATTGCCTCGAGCAGGCTTCAGTAATGTCTATTTGTCCTAGCCCTGAGATTTTTTTTTTAAAATGCCATATTCAAGGCTCTTTCAGGATTAGGAGAATGAGACCCATCATTGTAACTGGTATTTGGCATATTGGGTACGCCACGGGGAGTTTGCCAGACTCTGCCATGTGGGCAGGTAATATTTGGTAACCTGCCAGGTAACCACTCTCCACACGCATGAAGGTACCGGCAGAGGAACAAAGGCATGCGGGTCCCGGGGCTGAGATCTCCAAGCCTGCTCGGATCGGGGCTGAGTATCCTCCACCCAGATCTTCCATCTTCCAGTAGGCAGGGGTCACACCCACCATCTGACCCCCAGCGCCGTGTAATCCCATCAACAGCCAAGACCCAGAGATTATAAAACCCAGCTCACGGCCATGTGAGATCTTGTTATCTTTCTAAGTCATCTGGGATCATTTCTGAACTTCCTCCAGCAGTCTTAACATGACTCACTTGGAAACATTTCAAAATTTTGTTTTGTTTTGTTTTGGATTATTGCTTTTTCCCGGGTAATTTTCTTTACAGTTTCTGCCAAATTTTGTGGGTGACTCAAAATTTTCTCAAGATTTTCTAGCAACCTTATGTCCCAACTAGCCCCTCAAAGAGTCGTCAAGGTTATTCCTGGGTGTTAGTCTTGGGGTGTTACACTAATAAAAATTAAAAAGAAAGAAAGGAAAGAAAGAAAAAACGTTATACTCCCCCCCAAAAAAAAGAGTCGTCAAGGTTATAGAGGATGTAAATATCTACATAGATGGACATCTTAGATACATTTCAGATACATGAGAGAGGGATTTTCAGCAAATGGACATCTTAGTTTCATTTGTGTTCTTAAAACTAAGTAATTTCTTACCTGCACTTCCCCAAAAGCTAAATCCTCAGGAGATTTGGGGTCTGAATCCCAGGGATCAGGAGGATTCAGTTCTACGAGCAAGAGTCCATCCTCTTGATCCATTTCAATAACTAGAACCAAAGTAAAACAAATCTGGATTAAAAACGATAACTTTGAATTTTTTATTTGGAGGAAGGGTTCCAGAGATTAAACCCAGTGCCTCATACATGCAAAGCACATACTGCATCATGAAGCTACATACTTGGTCCTCTAAAAAAAAAAAAAGACTGTTAGCATCACTGAAATGAGAATGCATGACACACAGAGGCACACAGAGTATGAAAAATATCTGTGGAAATTCAAACCCAAAGGCAGTCCACTCTTTCTGTGTCAAGCAACAGCATCAAAATGAGTACTTTAAAAAAATGAGTACTTAAAATCAACATTATTGTAGTTCCTCATACTCTAGCACTAAATTGCCCATGAAGTTAACTGAATATCACTGGGAGTGATTCATAAATCTTCCTGAGCACCACTTGAGAGCCCCCCAAAAAAGTACTCCATTTATTCATCCTGAGCACTTTGAGAGCACCCCCAAAGGATCCCATTTCTTCATTTCTTTATTCGTTGTATAGCTAAGGAATTCATAGGGACTTCTCTGTGTCACCTGCACATACACCAACTTCATTACAATGAAAGAATTAGTGACTAGAGACAGTTTAAGGTACAGAAAGGAGTTTATCTGCTTTCTGAATCAAAACTGACCAAATAGGAAGTGATCCTCCAATTGGGCTTTAAAAATGGAAGTTTTTTAGGGCAGGCAGACAAAATATGATAATGTGAAGGAGTCAAAAGTAGGTGAGAAGAGCCAGTCAAAGACACGAAGACACGAAAGAACTTGGTATTCACAGTGTCACTGGGCACTTTTGACTACAGAATAAAAAAGGGCTTGAGCCAGCCAGGACAGACAGGTAGACCAGAACAGGTAATAAGCACCCGTGATACCAAGATTCCTGTTTGGATTTAGCTTGTCACCTTAGGGGTCCATGAAGACTTCGCCAACTACTGGTGGAGGGAAGGGTGTTCAAACATTGTTTAACTGAAATGTAATCACGAAAGTTTGTAAGTCTGTAACTGTATCTCACGGTGATTCATTAAAATGAAATAATAATGATAATAATAATATTTTAAAAAGACTTTACCAACTGTAGCAAACAGCACCGGTGGCCCACACCAAATCCATTCTCTCCTTCCTAGGAGCATCTGAACTTTTGCTTTTCTGGAGCAGTGGTAGACCCATCTAAAGCTTCAAAGATGTCTTAGGCCCCCTTGCAAGTTAGGTGTGGCCAGTAGTGATGCCTCATGGATGGACAGGTTACTAAGAAAATGTGAGCAGAAGTTTACTCTAGGATTTCCAAGAACATTTTTATTTTCCTGACAAAGAGTGGCAAACTCAAGGAACATTGTGCTTCCTCCTTGGCATGCGTTTTCTGTTTCTTGTTGGGATCATGGTCACCATATCTGAGAATCAGGAGCCACTGTGAGACCCTGAGGAAGTATCACTATCAAAGATGAGAGCTCCTAGGAAAACAGAAGGAAGTTGGCCCCTTGAAAAAACATAGAATGACTGATTCGCGTTATAAAGTGCAATGCCTGGCTCTTAATAGGCAAATATTTTTGGAGTTTATTGATGAATGAATTTTCTTAATTTTATATTGCTCAAGACTCGGTGGAGGGGGCAGGGGGTGGGGCTTTTTCAACCAAGGCACTTCCTTGCCCAGGCTTGATGCCTCAAACTGGAAATGGAAGTATGAAATTGTATCAAGATAGACTGAAAATAGAACTTATACTTCATTTTTTATTTTTAGGGTTTGCAAGTTTCATTTTTATTGGACAATTTTCAATAGATAAAACAGGAAAATATATAATTATAGTTTTATTGTAGTAACAGAAGTATAAGATATGTTTCAGCACTATAAGCCAGCATCTTCCTATATTCACCACTGAAAATCCAGTTCTAACCTTTGTGTCGAATGACCCTTGTTCTAAGAATCTAGAAGCATCTTTGTACCAGACAGCATCTAAGCGCCACAACTAACATACTTCCCCAACCATTGTTTTTGTCGAAGCTTATGTACCTGTTCACCGCTTCCCTGGACCACATCCAAGCTCTCCCACATCCTGTGCCTTCTTTCTTTTTTTTTCTCTTTTTTGGCTTTTTTAGTCATACCTGGTGATGCTTAGGGGTCTTCTACCTCTGAATTCAAGAATCACTTATGGCAGTGTCCGGGGGACCATATGGGATGAATCTGAGTTGACCACGTGCAAGGCAAACACTCTACCTGCTGTCCTATCACTCCACCCCCATCCTGTGTCTTCTTAGTGCACTTGACCCTGGGTTTGTTTCTTGTCGTTGGACTAAGCTGTTCTCTGTGCCTTGATAGAGAACCTCCTTTTCTTTACATGGACCAAGAATTTGATTCTTCTCTCCTAATTCTGGAAACTGCTCCCCTCATTCCTTTGTGCTGAAAGATGGCTGTCTTGGGCACTCTCCACTCCAAGCCATCCTTAGGACATAGCTCACGCTGATTTTGACATAGACCACTAACACTAATTGCATGCTAGGGTGTCAGTGTGGTAACAGGAACTAAAACTAGGTTGACCACATCCTAAACATTCCCCTTAACAACTGTATTTAGTATATCCTGCAGATAAATGACAAAGGTGGATGTTGAAATATTAAATGTAATCAATTATTATGAACAACTTTATGAAAATAAGATTTTTTTAATTTAATTTTTTTTGCTTTTTGATTCACACCCAACAGTGCACAGAGGTTACTCCTGACTCTGCACTCAGGAATTACTCTGGCAGTGCTCAGGGGAACATATGGGATGCTGGGGGTCGAACCTGGGTCGGGTGCATACAAAGCAAATGCCCTACCCACTGTACTATAGCTCCAGCCCCTGAAAATAAAATTTAAAAATTAAAAAGAAAGAAACATCAGCATTAGGATTCTGACTCTGCTGCTTATTAGCAGTTTTCTGGGTTTCAGTTTCCTGATCTGTAAAGTAAGGTTACGGTTCATACTTCATAGAGCTGTGGTATTAAATAAAGGAACAGATACTAAAGTGTCTAACACTGTGCTGGATACTCTATGTAGAAATTATAAAATAAATAACAGCATTACTGGGACCAGAGGCATAGTACAGGGGTTAAAGCAAGTGCCTTGCATGTGGCTGACCTCAGTTCAATCCCTGGCACTGCACATTTCTGAGCACCCATCATGTGGCCTGTGTGATCATCTCTGGCACCCCAGGGCCTAAGCAGCACTGCATTCTCAGGCCCTCAAATTGAGCAGCCAGCCTGGGTGACTGCAAATATCTGGGAACGGGTCCAGGGTGTCTCTGAACACACTGTGGGGGGCCCCCAAATAAGTAATCATAGCCTTGGCATAATAATTATCATTTTACCTTCAAGCAATGCAGAGTTAGTAAAAAGAAAGTTTAGCACTAGACAAGCAGGCAAACCCACATGCAAATACCAGTTGGAAAATATAATCGTATTTTGGGGTGAATTCTTAGAAAAATCCTGCACTGTTGTCACAATTCTTTTTAAAATTTACTTAAGAGATTTTCACTGATACTTGGTGATTGCCATACTGTTAATGATGGTTACTCACGCATATAATTTCAATAGCACACCATCACACCCATCACTGAGCTCCCCTCTCTTTCAACTCCCAGTGCCCCTCCCTTTCAGTTCCCAATGCAGTTATGTGGATCAGTTCTCTGGCTGTGTTGCCTTTGACCCTTGGTTGCTACCTTGCTGTCTGATACCACTCTTTTGCCTTTGTTTTTATTTTGGGACTACACCCAGCAGTGCTCAGAGCCTAGTCCTGCTGTGTCCTCAAGGTTGCTCCCAGTAGTACTCAAGGGACCAAACAGTGTCAAGAATTCAATCCAGGCCTCCCACCTGCAAAACATGTGCCATCACACCGAACTATCTCTCCAACTCTGATACTACTCTTCCTACAATGAGAAGCAGAAGAAAGAAAATAAGGTTTTTCTAACTCCTATTACAAATTAAGTTCCATCTGCATGGTACTCACCATGCCCCTTGCTCAAAGATAAATTGAATATGTATGCTGAAAAAGTGTAACTTCCACCTCATCTATAAAGCATGAAAATATAAACAAAGTTAGAAAAATTTTGACCTCACAAACTGATAAACACTGAGTCATCTTAATTCCAACTTAGGCAAGTGATTTTTTTTACCTCTTCCCTTTTTAAAATTTTGTTTTTAATTTTGATTTTAGGACATACCCAGCAGTGCTCAGGGATTATTACTGGAAGTGCTTGGGGAAGCATATACAGTGCCAAAACTGAACTAGGGTCTGCTCTAAGCAGCTTAACCTCTGTATTATCTCTTTGATCTCTTTACTAAACTCTTTAGAGGAAGATTATGAGGGAAAGTATGGTCAAAAACAGAAAAAAGATAATTAAATCCCTGTTACTGTGATAAGTTCAGCCAGAAGGAGGATTCAAATGAAATAAATGCTTTATAGATTCTAAAGAAGGGGGTCCAAATTGGTGGGAAGGGAAGAGTTATATTATAAGTGCTCCAGTGGCAACTGGGTAGTTAAGAATTCCCACTGAGGGCCAGAGAGAGCGCACAGTGGGTAGGGTACTTGCTTTGCAGCCAACTTGAATTCAATCTCCAGCAATTTATATGGCCCTTCAAGGCTGCCAGGAATAATCCCTAAGCCCAGAGTCAGTAGTGAAGCCCTGAGTATTGTGGATGTGGCACAAAAAAAAAAAAAAAAGAACTTCCACTGATCAAAGATACAAAGTAAGAGGCAGAGAAACAGTTAATAAAGGGAGTCAGACACTTGCCTTGCATGCTACCAATCCCAACTTTTATCTCTGGCACCTCATATGGTTCCTCTAGGTATGACCAGTGAGCACAGAGCCAGAAATGTAGCCCCTGAGCACTGCTGGGTGTGGACTTCAACCCCCTTTAATTAAACAAAGACACCAAGTAGTCAAGTGATTAAAAAGTATGATAAAATTCAATATCAAAGGCAGGATTTTCTGGGGCTGGAGTGATAGTGCAGTGGGTAGGGCATTTG